TATAACAAATACCAGACTAGAGCATAGCACGAACGGAAATTAAAGATTTTCCGAACGATAAGCGAACAGAAATGGAATTATGGTGGGTCCTTCTTTTGGTGTATTTTTAATTAGTAAATAAAAATAAACGATGAGAGATAATCTCCATAAAACAGTATTTGAAGAGGTTAAATGATGAAAACTGCTCAGTTACTAGGCTTTGAAATAAAAAGATTATCTTAAAGTTGCTTGGTCTGTTTGAGACGTTTCTGTTTTTTACTTACACAATAAATGTATATGCTTACATAGAAAATGTATTTTAAAAAAAAACTTGCGACCGTTTTCTTCGGATAAAAACAGACTGAGTATTCATTTTTTGTATTCAAAAACCATATTGACAAAACATATATTATTATATTAAGTTCTAAATATTTAAATTGGTAAAACCACGTACGTGACTTCCAAAAGCTAAACAAACCTTGAGGTGAGAAACACGTGAAATACCCTTTGGCATGATTCGCATCATGTTCTGATTTGCAGATCAGTCTTAGCGATTCTCACGGGTTGTCCATTGTTGCATTCCCTTCTGTGTTTTCCTATATGAATACACTGCTTCCTAGTTTGCGTTATTTTTACGGCTAGAGGTTCTTTGGACTACCAAGTGTTCGTTTAACTTCCGTAGTGTGATTTGTATACAAAGGCAATGCGCATGCGAAGCTTTGCATTTGCTCCTTTTTTGTGTAACTAAACACAAATGACTCTTAAACATTTAATGTGCTAGTATTAATATCTTTTAGAAGACACCGACCCTGAGTATATAGTTTATTTTATGAAAGTGGAAAGTTCCTATGGAGAATTAATTTTTATGCTATTGAAATATAAAATTTTACTCAATGAATCAGATATAGTTACTGTCATTGATTTTGATCAAATTATACATAACGATAGATGAAATAGTCATTCATACATATACCTATGTTATCAAAATCCGATCATGCTTTAACGCCTGATATAGATGAACACATTTGTACGTCTGATTATTAAAATAAAATTTATCAATCAATTGACATTGTTATTAGAATTGTTAATAAATTACTAATAAAATCTAATTTGCATTAAGAAAAACTTTATTAGCAAATTTAGAAAACGTGTTAAATTAGGTGTATGTAAAAAGTAGAGAAGTATCGAAAAGTTAGTGCTTGCAGCAGCTAGCCTTTAGAAAATTTCCATCAAAATCCCTCACGCAAAATTTTATGCTGATTCAAATTTATTTAAAATAGTACAGTGTAATTTAAAACGATCGATATAAAAATCAAAGTTGCAAAAACGCGGTGATTTTCCACAATTTCACATGCAATTCTTTATTTAAACAAAGATAATCTTTCAAACGCAAGAATATCTTATCTGAGCCCCGTTGTCTATTTTTATTATTTTAATACATGTATTTATATCCATCATAAAGAATGATGATATTATTAAGATTAATAAAAAAGAAAGTAAATATACAAAATAAGATATAAATAAATAAAACTTACATTTATACAGGTCGGAAATAAAGAAATTGTCTGCAGGGCAACCTTCTCTGAAATCAAGACAGCTGACTTGGTTCAAATTACCATTATCCAAAACTTCCAAACAATGCCCTGAATTATATATAAATATATAGAAAGCACTAAAAAAGAAACAACAATGTATATCCTAAGTGTCGGATCTACTAAATAGATACAAGGTCAAGGATGGAAATTTATTTAAAGCACTAAGAATGACCGATTGTACGTTTTTAGTGCTTTATATATATATATATATATATATATATATATATATATATATATATATATATATATATATATATATATATATATATATATATATATATATATATATAATGTTTACCTTAAAGTTGTGATCTTTGTTTAAATTATGATTTGAATTCAGTTTACGAGCTCACCTCAGCTGAAAGTCAACTGAGCTTTTCTGATCACCATTGTCCGTCGTCCGCCCGACTGTTCGTTCGTCTGTTAACATTTCAACTTCTTCTAAAGAAACACTGGGCCAATTTTAACCAAAGTTAAAGTATTCTTTGATAAAGGGGATTCTTAATTTTTCAAATGAAGGGCCAAGCCTTCAAGATAATCAAGAAAAGGCAAAAATAGGGTGGGGTCATTAAAAAATCTTCTTCTTAAGAAGCATTGGGCCAGAAAAGTTGAAACTTACGTGGAAGCTTTCTAAGGTAAAGTAGATTCTAAATTGTTCATTTATGACCCTTAGATGGTGGTACGATGGGGCCATAAAAGGGAATTCAAGTTTCACATTGAAATATATGGGATTTTTTTTTTTTTTTGAAAAATCTTATTCTTAAGAGCCACCACAGGGATTAACATTTTTAATAGAAATATACAGTAAAAAACTTCAAAAACGTCTTCTCAAGAAAAACTGAACCAGAAAAGCTGAAACCTATGTGGAAGCTTCCTGAGGTTGTGTAGATTCTCAATTTCTCAAATCATGACCCCCAGGGGTAGAGTAGGGCCACAGTAGGGAAAATACTATTTTCACATAGGATAATATAAGAAACTAAAGGCCCATGGGCCACATTGCTCACCTAAGCACTGTGGCTAGGAAAAAAGCAAAAATTAGTTCAGTATTGAAAAGCTTTAATGCATAAGTGGTCCCGACCTACCCATATAAAGGGACGGGGGGTGGGTTATGATTTGAACAAAATTGAATCTACACTAACTAAAGATGCATACATATTTCTCTGTCAGTGACTTTTTTCCCTTCAAGTTTGAACTTTCATTATGGTCCCACCCTACCCCCGGGGTAATAGTTTGAAGAAATCTGAATCTACACTATCTGAGGATGCTTCCATATAATTATGACCAATCATAGCTTTGCTGTTTTTGAGAAGAGATTTTAAAAAAAAAATTCCTATGTATTAATTCCTATGCATAACTTTAATCATCAATTGTGGCCCCACCCTATCCCTAGGGGGTCATGATTTTTTTCAAACATGAATCTACACTACCTTAGGATACTTCCGAATAGTTAATAACCAATCATGGCTTTGCTGTTCTTGAGAAGATTTTTTCTATGTATTCCTATGTAAAACTTTGATCGTCCATTATGGCCCCACCCAACCCTCGAGGGTCATGATTTGAGCAAACTTGAATCTGCACAACCTGAGGATGCTTCCATATAAATATGACCAATCATGGCTTTGTTGATCTTGAAAATTTTTTCCTATATACTCCTATATAAAATTTTAGTAACCATTGTGGTCCCATCCTACCCCAGGGGGTCATAATTTGCACAAACTTGAATCTACACTACCTGAGGATGCTTCCACATAAATATGACCAATCATGGCTTTGTTGTTCATGAGAAAAAGATTTTGTTAAAGATTTTTCCTATATATTCCTATGTAAAACTTTGATCGTCCATTGTGGCCCCACCCCACCCCCGGGGGTCATGATTTGACCAAACTTGAATCTACACTACATAAGAATGATTGTACATGAGTTTCACCTTTCCTGGCCCAATGGTTCTTGAGAAGAAGATTTTTAAAAGATGCCATTATTTTTTAACTAATTTGTAATTATCTCCCCTTTGAAGAGGGCGTGGCCCTTCATTTGAACAAATTTGAATCCCCTTTACCCAAGGACACTCTGTGCCATGTTTGGTTGAAATTGACCCAGTAGTTCTGGAGAAGAAAATGAAATTTTGAAAAATTTACGACAACAACGACGACCACGACGACGACGACAGACAACGGACAAATTTCGATCATCAAAGCTCACTTGAGCCTTCGGCTCAGGTGAGCTAAAAAGCTTTAAAACTCTTCTGCTCAACAACAGCAATGCTATGATAAATCATATTAATGTGGAAGCATCCTCTGGTAGTGTAGATTCCCTAACAAAAAAATACTATGATTAACTATAGTTTACTATAGTTAACTAAAGTTAACTATAGTAAATCAAAGTGTAAAAGTGATCACTATAGTAAATCAAAGTTTACAAAGTGATCACTATAGTGTCATAGTCATCACTATAGTAAATCAAAGTTTTTAAAGTTATCACTATAGTAAATCAAACTTTTCATCATAATAAATCAAAGTTTTCATAGTGATCACTATGGTAAATCAAAGTTTTCATAGTTATCAATTTAGTAAATCAAAGTGTCAAAGTCATCACTTATAGAAAATCAAAGTGTCAAAGTTATCACTATAGTTAACTACAGTAAACTATAGTTAACTATAGTATGTTTTTGTTACGGTTCATTTTTATTTTCAAATTAGGGCCCTGTGTATTGGTTGAGGCCATAAAAAGGCGATCAAAGTTTTACAAAGGCATACATGTATATATATTTGGAAAAATCTGAGGCAGAACAGTAGGTTCATAGTGACTCAAACGAGCTTTGTGGCCCATGGGCCTCTTATCTAAAATAGTTCTTTTTGAAGAAATCTATATCACTTACTACGACGCGATTGTCGAGACATATGCATTATATGCATTAACTGAACAAATAGGTAGAGATTCGTTAATTTGCACATCTGACATGGTGGTGATTTGGAATAATATTTTAGACGTAGTGGGCAGACACTTCTTTGGAATGGAAAATCAGTTTTTTCCTCTATAATTGATAACTGAATATCCTTCTATAAAGTATCGTCGTGCCCACATAAATGCTTTTAATTTTAAGGTCAGAACACACATTCTTCAAATATATATAATTTTTTTTCATTTTTTTTATTGAAGTATTGCTACTTGAACAAGTTTTTCTTACAAAAAATGAAGTACATTACCAGGTTTCTACAAGAACCCAGAGGATGCTATTTCCTATATAATCTCTTGGAAATAACTAAAATTGTTGACGTCAATTTCCTTTCAGAAACAGACATTTCAGAAATCACAAGATGAGAATAAATACAAATAACTTTGGTATACTAGTACTTCACAGAGACACAAAAAACAATTTTGAGGAATGTGTTTTCAGACTTAAACATTAAATTTGAAATCACTCGTTACCTTTTTGATAAAGACCAATTAGGTGCCTGTAACAGAATTCCACAAGGGCTGACTGCTCGTTATTTGGGGCACAGACATACTGATTACGTCCGTTTTCGTCCACCCCACAGCTAAGTCTGGTGGCCGATTCATTGAATTCTGTCTTATCACGAGGACAGGTGTACACAATGTGTCCAAAGTCTTGGTACTTCATCTGTGGTATCTCTATAAACACTAATAAATTGTTTACCTATTTCAAATCATTACTTATATACAAATTTTGGGCTTTTCATGTCCTCCGCCAAAAAGGTAGTCCGTATTTTAGAAGATAACCCACGACAGGAACTGATAAAAAAAATCTTCTTTCTTTTTGCACTCTTTTTATGAAGGCATGAGTCATTTAATTAAATACACCTGTATTTAACCTTGTAGTCAGACAAAAATAAATTTTAGAAGATAAAGATCAATAATTCTAGTAGGCGTGCATTATGCAATATTAAGAAACTAATATGCTAACATGTCTATCCAGAAGGTATGGCGCAGCATTTAAAAAAGATTAAATTTTATGTACACAAATTAGATGATATTTTTAAGAGCATATTTATTCCAAAGTTTACATTCTAATTCATCAAAATATACGCGCTGCTGGATTTCAAGGGAAAATGCTAAGTAAATGTGCAGTTGTGGATTTTTTGTGTAGTTTGAAAGTGTAATTAACGATCTACGGAAGCGTATTAGTGCCATTTGGACACTTTACTTTTTTTTAATTTCCACACTTTAATCTGTAAAATTTACACTTTAATCTGTAAAATTTACACTTTAATGTATAAATTTTACACTTTAATGTTTAAATTTTACACATTTATCTGTAAATTTTACACTTTAATGTGTAAATTTTACACTTAAATGTGTAAATTTTACATTTTAATGTGTAAATTTTACACTTTAATCTGTAAATTTTACACTTTAATCTGTAAAATTTACAGTTTAATCTGTAAATCTTACACTTAAATCTGTAAAATTTACTCTTTAATCTGTAAAATTTACACTTTAATCTGTACATTTTACACTTAAATCTGTAAAATTTACACTTTAATCTGTAAATTTTACACTTTAATGTGTAAATTTCACACTTTAATCTGTAAAATTAACACTTTAATCTGTAAATTTCACACTTTAATCTGTAAAATTTACACTTTAATCTGTAAATTTTACACTTTAAATAGAGTGTTATTTTTTTTTACAACTTCTTATTCATATAAATAATCTGTTGTGAAGGTATGGACCGGGAATATTTAATTGGAGAGTATTTCAAACTGGGCCTTAAATACAGTGAAATAATTAAATGTTTGGATGAATTACATGGATATAACATAGGAATTCGTACACTCAAAAGAATAACAAAGAATTTGGGACTTTACCGACGGAAATATAAGAGTAATATTCTTCAGATAGCGTTATTTATACTTGAACAATGTGAAATGCATGGCCAAATGCACGGATATCGTTGGTTGCACTTAAAGTGTCTTGAAAGGGGATTTGTTGTTGACCAAGACACAGTCCTCGGGCTGTTGCATATTATAGATCCAGAAGGTGTTGAGTACAGAAAAAAGAGAAGACTCAGAAGACGGATATTCTCTGTTAAAGGTCCAAACTCAGTCTGGCATATCGACGGATACGATAAACTTTCAAGGTATGGAATAAAAATCCATGGTTGTATTGATGGATTTTCACGTCAAATTATTTGGTTGAAAGCTGGTGGGTCTATTACTATTACATAGAGAGTATAAGGAAATATGGGGTATGCCCAAGACGTGTAAGAGCTGATAAGGGAACCGAAAACGTTCACATTGAAACAATTCATAAGTTTCTCCGACGAAACCACGAAGATGAACATGCTGGAGAAAGAAGTTTTTTGTACGGTAAAAGCATAAATAACCAAAGAATTGAGAGTTTATGGGGAATGATACGACGACAGGGAATTCAGTTCTGGATGAATTTTTTTCAAGAGCTTACTGAAAGTGGTTTCCATGACGGAGAATATTTAGACCAAGAAATATCTCGCTTTTGTTTTCTACCACTAGTACAGGTAAAATGCACAATAACTTCCTTTCAAATCTACAGATAATTTCACTACATTGAAAATTAGAATGTATTTGAAACTGTGTGCGGTGCGCTAGCTTATAACTAGGTCTCAAGACCATGACTGAGAAAAGACATTTCAAAATGTTTATTTTGACCATTTTAATGGTTAATTAACAAATATATAAAAAGTTTCAAGATAATATATCTACCTACATTTGCAACTGTCTTTCTTTATATGACAACACTGACAAAATAGCATTTAATTTTCTTTGAAATGAAGTTGGTCATGTGACTTTTTGCGAATGGCAAACGGCACGAGACACATCGAAGGTCTAGAAAGTCACATGATGTCGTACTTGTATGTCGTGTTGCATTTCCATATGGGAATCTAAATACACTGTAGTGCATTTTTTATAAATAAGAAATTACAAAATTTTTGAGAGTCCGTTGGAATATACGACTTGAAGTTGGTATGTGACCAAGTCCCCTTCAGGCGTTCTAGGATTAGCTGCAGCTGGTCTTAAAAAATTCGGATGATCTACAGCATTTATAGCGATACAATATGATCGCGTAGCGATCTGCACATGATACCAGTTACACTTTTGTTTTTTTCCCAATAAACTCAAAAATTAAATTTCAAATTTTGACTTTAGTCTGTTCTCAGTATTGGACTCGTTTATTAAAAAATAAGCAAAAAAATCCAGTTGAGAAAAGTACATGTAGGGTTATTTTATTGTAGGACACTTTAGACGACATAAGTTCTATCTGGAAACGTCACAGGATTAGGCGATACAGACAAGGAATAAGCAGATGTGGTAGACCATTTCTTCTACATCATATGCCGTGCGCATTTGATACCGTGGATTATGGTATTGAAATAAACGAAAATGAAGTAAATATTTGTGAAAGTGAATTACAGCCAATGCCAGAAATGCCATGCTCTGCATTAATTAAAGATTTATGTGTGTGTATAATGGAAGAAAACAATTTTGCTTTGCCCCAAGACCCAGAAAGCATGCAAAATTTGTTTATTTTTTTCAGAGAGGATATCAGAAGTAATTTATGACTGCAATTGTAACGCTGTGCTTTGAAAACAGGATGTATATTTGATAAATAATATAAATTCTCTTTTTTCTTTTATAGCCTAGATACATGTCGTTTATTGGATGCAGCTGTATATTGCTGTATATTGGATAAGCAGCTTTTACTAATGATTTGTAACATAAATACGGTTATTATGATTAATCTGTTATAAAATCTATTATTAAATCAGATATTTGGTAAATTTGATAATAAATATTTTTTTTTTAAGAAAATGGCATTTCAGTTTCCAATAAAGAATGAAATTTAGATTTTTCATTTTTATTCTGTCTCCACGGCACCACTGAAATTTTGAAGTATTAAAGGTTGCTTGCTCAGCTATATCTTTGATAACCAATACTGCTTCTCTTCTTTACGATTAATTTAGCCATCTGTGAGAATTCCTCAAGACAAAATTTTAGGTGAAACTATAACAAACTATAACTTTAGGTGAAACTATAACAAAATGTCCAGTAACTTCGTTCGGGGCGGCATAAATACTATATGTAGTATATCGTAAGTGAATATGAAAATATCATTTATTTAAATATCATTTTTTCAACATTAATGTGGAAGCATGCTCTCAATAATTGAATCCTACGAAAGTCGGTAGGTGCCACGTAGAAAAAAATATTTTATCAGCCGGCCGCCAAATAAATATCTGCATGGCGGCCTCCACATAATTATCTGGCGACCGCCAAATAATTATCTGGTGGCGATCAGATGCCTTTCTGGCGGCCGCCATATGATTTTCAGGCGGCCGCCAAGTAATTTACTGGCAGCCGCCAAATAATTTACAAGCAACCACCAAATATGATTCTTGCAATATAGACACATAATCTATTAAATGAAGTATAAATTTAAAGTGTACCATAACGTTATTAAAAGAAGCTTTTTGTATAATGTGTAGATATGGCCCTTGCGTAATAAGGCATGAAACTCCCAGATTTGACTTCAAGCAGATACACTAAAGCAAGAAAACACAACAACACCAACAATAACTCTCTGTCAAGTTAAGAATGCAAGTTATGTAAAATTCAAAGGGAAAATTCAATGACTTTTTTTATTTATTAATATTGGTCAAAGAATTTAAAATCATGTTCTTAGTCAGACATTAATGATAATTTCAGACCTAACTACATGTAATTTGCTTACGTTACAGTGTAGGAATAAAGAATGAATCCTCGTAACACTGCTTTCTCGCCCCTTTTTAAATGCAAAATTTTACCTTTTCAAATCAGAACATTGTTATATTATACCTCAAGTCTTCAAGCATAGTCTGTATAGATACTCATAAAAGATTTCTTGGGGAAAGAGACTTTCAATATATACATTATATCGATTAAATAAAATCGTACACTTCACTGTAACATCCCGGTTTCGCCATTACAGCTATGTAGGTCATTGTATTATTTGAATGAGAAGGCGGAGCGTCCATCAAGCGTGCGATTAGTATGAATACATTAGCGTGTGTTCGAGGTGTACTAAGTTTTATGATTAACTGACACCTAAAAAGCCTTTTTTTCATGCTAGAGACCGACAAAATATAAACATACATTTTTATTTTGGCTGGTTTAACTTTGATTTCTTTTCTGCTTAACTTACGAGTCGTATTTGAAATGATTTACTAGAAATTTATCAAATTATTTATACATTAACTAAACAATGGAATTTGGAAACAGAACGTATAACGAAGGATACACTATTTTTCATACTTTAAAGAAACCTTCTTTTTTTGAAAAAGAGATAATTAATCCATTTAAGCTTATTACATAATTAGAATTTTTTTTCATACACATATATATAATTTTGCAAAATCCGAGTACTACAACAAAAACACGTGGGCAGTTGAATTATGATATAAAACTACACTCGGTGTATAAAAAATAGATAGTTAAGAAAGTGAAAATTTAAACATCAATTAAACGTCAGTATCATCGCTGGTGGATAAAGAAACAGTGTCAGTGTACTTTGTACAGTCCAAATTGCATTGTTTCAAAAAATCCTGCTTATTCATGCCAGACAGGTTAATATGATCTTCCTCATTTA